TTTCAAACTCAATTTCGTGTTAGTGTATTACCAGCAGTAACCATGGAAACAGAGGTCCCAGCACTTTTCAGGCAGTTTTTTTTTGTTTTTTGATAATTTATATTACAGATGAATCGCTCAGTTTTATGTGACTTAAACTTTAATCTCCCCAAACCTCAGATCCTCATAGAAATGTTTATAACTTTATGATGATTCAGAAACAAAGATATTTGATATAAAAGAAATCCTCTGATCGGTTGGTCTGCGCCGTTTGCAGGTTGTTGGGGATTCGGATGAAACTGGAGCTCAGTCCCAGAAACCTGAAGACAAACCGGGCTCTCCGCCTGCCAGTAAGGTGGGTGGCAGCTTTTTCTCATTCTAACCTTGAAGAATCTTAAGAGAGAGAAAGAAAAACTAACAGCATTGATCCCATTCAGGGTTGATCCGCTCACAGCGTCCAACAGAAACAAAACAGCTTCCCGTTTATCTTTGATATGGAACCAGAACGTAGGAAAACTGGAGAAATCCTCACAATAAAGGCTTCTTTTCTGCACAGTTCAATTTAGTTTATCTTTCAATTTTCATTTACTATCTGTTAAACATAGTTTCATATTAAAAGATTAACGGTCTAAAAAGCATGAGGAGTTTGAAGGTTTCTGGTTAGTTTGAATCAAAGAGCAGAAACTGCTGTTGGTCTGTGAGGCGGCAGCTCCTGGTCTGCAGCTCTGATGGATGCTGTCCGTGTTGTACACAGATCCCCAGGTTCAAAGGTCAGAAGAGCCAGACAGCAGCTCAGGTAAACAGCTGAGGATACTAACATGATCACCATAAACAGCCTCAGAGCTCACTAACCCGGATCTCTACAGCCTCATTCTCACATCCACCGCTCTCCCATGTTTCCTGTCTGCCATCCACTGGGAAGCACAGAGGGGTTTACTACAGAGACACTGACGTCCATCTGCGTCTGCAGGACAGGGAATCATTTCCAGAGCATTTCCTGATCAAATCATGGTCCAAAAAATGAGATGGAGACAGACAGGAAGGTTATTTAGGTTTTTCTTTAGAGGATGGATGATCTGAAAATTAAACATCATAGAAAAGAAGCTGNGCCGGTCCAGGTTCCTTAAAAATGCCGGTCCAGGTTCTTCAGAAAAGCCGGTCCAGGTTCCTTAAAAATGCCGGTCCAGGTTCTTCAGAAATGCCGGTCCAGGGTTCCCCAGAGGAGACTTTAAAAGCTCAACTATCTGTCCAACTGACCATGTTCCCCAAATGTTCTAAAGCCTTTTACTGGTTCATTCTTCTCATTCCTATGATATTTTCTGCAGACATCGACTTCCAGTCCTTCCTGGAGATCTACAGACGTCTCTTCTCTCAGTGCAGGAGTGTGGTGAGATAATTTTCCTTTTTTCCACTCCAAAGATCTGACAGAAAATGCTGCATTCAGGCTGCAGCCGAGGATAAACATTATAGGTTCTTCTTCCTAAAAATTCATGTTTTTACGAGTTTTTATTAGAAATAAAATAAGAAAAGCTAAAATAATAAAATAAATAATAAAAATAACAGGAACTGGATACACAAACTTTTTATACAAGATTTTTTAAATTCTGCCATATTTGCCTCAACACCATCGTAGTACATACAGTAAATTATTTATCACTCAAAATTACTATGAAATCACCGACATTCGATGAAAACGACCCAGAAGCGTTGCCGGCGCCATTTTCCGCCAGATGGCGTGGTTTTTTTCCGAGAATTGGAGCGATTCAGACACATTTTTTTTTTTTACTTAGCAGGCTAAAAAACAAAAATTGTTTCTGGGCAAATGAAATGTGAAAGTCACTTGTCCAAAGGGCAAGTGGTAAAAATCCTTAACGTCAACCCCTGACATACATGCAAGTTCTCCCACCATCCGTGCTACGCAGGATTTCAAACTCAATTTCGTGTTAGTGTATTACCAGCAGTAACCATGGAAACAGTGGTCCCAGCTCTTTTCAGGCAGTTTTTTTTTTGTTTTTTGATAATTTATATTACAGATGAATCG